GGTGCGTGACATTCGGCTAGGACCCCAAGTGCTTGCTCTTATAGAGCCTCACGATCTCCCAAAGGTCTGCTGCCCTTTGTGACCCAAGCCAGTGCACACTTTCGGTGACCAGGGCTCTCAGTGCTGGGGCCACCAGAGAGGTGTGCAGTGTGTTACTCGTCTAACACTGCAGAGCAAGCTACCCAAACCGAGAGGCTTAAAAAAAGAAACTGTTATTACCCCACAGTTTCCGTGGGTTGGAGATCCACGGGTGGCTTCACAAGGGCTCAGGTTTCCTGCAAGCCTTCCTGGAGGTGCCCACCAGGGTCACAGGCATCTCCTGGTGTGAGCAGGGAGAAGCCACCTCCAACCTCATCCTTGTGGCTGTGGGAAGGCCTCCGCTCCCACCAGCCCTTGGTTGGAGCCCTCTCCAGCTCCTTCCATGAAGGCCTCTGCACAGGGCAGCTCACAGGGCAGTGGGTGATTCCTCAGGACGAGGACACACAGGATGGACCCTGGACCCACACCCACCACTTCTGCTGCAGTGTCTTTGTCAAATGTGAGTCACAGCATGTGCACCCATGTTCATGGCAGGGTCATTCTCAATAGCCAAGAGGTAGAACCAACTCAAGTGTCCACTGATGACAAACAGACATACAAAATGTTGTCCATCCACACTGCGGAGCATGGCCCAGTTCAAAAAGGAAGGGAACCATGACACATTCATCAGGGATGGGCCTCAAAGACATGACATGACATGAACTAAGCAGTCACAAAAGGATTCCACTTACACGGGTACCAAGACTCATCAAATGAATGGAGACAGAGTCGAAAGGTGACTGCCAGCACTGGAGGGAGGGCCACTCTTGTTCATGGGTACAGAGTTTCAGATTTGCAACAGGAAGACGCTCTGGAGACCAGTCACACAACAATGTGAATACACTCACAACTGAAGACATACTTAAAGACAGCTAAGGTGATAAATTTTATGTCACATGTATTTTGCCACATGTACAAAAAAGGAAGTCACAAGGCACAGATCAAGGGATGGGGCCATGCCAGGGCGTGAATGCCAGGAGGTGGGGTCACTGGAGGCTGCCCACCATGTCCAGGCAACCCCTGCGAGGCCCATGAGTGCTGGCCACCTAGCAGTGCAGGGCAGCTCTGCCACTCTCAGATACCCCCAGGGTTCTGCAGCACAGAAAGCCACTGAAAGCCAGGTCTACAGCGAGCACTCCTGGAATCACCAATCAACAAAGCCCCATTAAAATTCAACTCCAGCACGGCACTCTCTAGCCTCTAACACATTCCACATGGAATACGGAGACACAATCCTGAGGCCCAACCCCACTCCCAGTTCTGTTAAAGGCCAAGGATAAGGAGGCCACTAAATCCTGGACCCAGGGAGAGAGGGAGGAGAGGCACCACCTTTTCATGCCTGGTTGAATTAGAAGGAAAGCATTTCAAGCACCCTGTTTCAGTATTGGGGCATTTCCCCCACCCCACTGGGATACATTTTATAAAGTGTCATTCCCCCACCACCCCCCGCATCAATTTTCAGGGCTGGAAGGCCCAGCAGAGGCAGACAGGACAAATTCTGATGAAGGGAGCTCATCACATGCAGAGGTGCTTAGCAGAGTACCTGTGCACTGAAGGCCCGACAGGTCACTGCGAGTAAGATGACAGTAGATCAGATCCTGTGGTGAAGGCAGTATTTTGTCTGTCAAGAAGCCTCTGAGACTCCTCAGAAGAACACGGCGTGAAGCTCCGTCCCCCCAGAGCCCACCACAGCCTGTTTCCCATAGCACCAATGCACTGGCGTTCCTCTGTTCAAGCACCAAGTATGTAGTCAGTTTGCAAGCAGAGGTTACAGCTATGGGAAAAGCATCTCCTTGAACACAAGAATCACCCTCGGAGCAGGGAGATGCAAGGGAGGAGGGATGAGACCTGCAGACACGCAGGCGGCCATTATTATTTGCAATTACTATAAGCATAATCATACTTAATATTATACTTGTGGATACTTGAATTCACATAACTTAAAAATCTAAATGGTGTGATACCATGTGGGGTGCAAATTAGACACAGTGTGATAACATAAAGAAATCCTTCCTAATCTTCAGCACTTGCTGAATCTGCTGTGTGTAGAGCACTATGCCACTAGGTAAGTTCTGTGGGACCCAAGAAGCAAACACCTCCTGCTCTTGGGTAGCTCACAGCAATGCCTTTCACTGTGGGCACCCTTGTGGGTGGCTGTTATACCTAAGGCAACTGACAGGTGTTCCCACCTGCCCGGGGGCTTGTCTCCCAGCAGCATGTCTATATGTAGTTTATTTTCTAAGGGGCTGTCATCTGGGTCTGGGAGGCACAGGTCTGGAGGCTGCCCAAGCCAGGTATCTGTCAAGAGGGGCTTCACACGTCTGTGCCCACCACCAACTTCTTCCATAAACCTCACATTTAGGAGAAATGAATACAAAGAGGGAGAAAAAGAGAAAAGCAGAATTCAGAAATACTCACTTCACCAGCCTGCAGAAGGACCAGCCGTTCTTAAAGGCAAGCAAAAGCCTGTTTCAGCAACACACTGGGATGGGCACAACAAAGGTGGAGGGTGTACTGCCCAGCTGCCAGCGTCCCATCCCCCTTGCCCCAGATGCTGAGTCCTCATCGAACACCTCAGAGCACCATGTGTAAGAAAGCCCAGGACACACACAACACAGTACATGAGAAACAATCCCCAGAGAAAGCTGCCTAGTCCTTCCTAGCCATGCCAGTACTACTCGTTTGTTACGGGGTTCCCACTGGCATATGTCTTGTTTACAAAAATTTGACTTTGTGTAAAAGCTAATAATGCCTCTTGTCCCATCAGAAGTTTGGAAGTTCCTAGCAACCGGCAAGACCACGAACTTCCCTAAGGCTAGTATAGAAGAGTGGGTCGCAGACTTCAACGCACATTCGGGCCTCGCAGAAGAGATCAACCCCAGATGGGACTCCCTCACACGGATCTCACTGGCTGGCCTGGGATGGGCCGAGCACCTACCTTTCCAGAGTCTGCCTGAGACTGGTGCTGCTGAGCTGAGGACTCCGCCTCGAGAACGCTGGTGAAGAGACCACCCAGGAAGATTTCCCGAAGACCAGCAGAGGCCAGCTCCCCTAGGACTCGTCACCCACGACTGCACCTGCAGCAGGCCCGGCGCGGTCTCTGCTGGCACACGGCCCGCAGGCAAACAGAGCTGGGCAGAGCACCATCCTTGGCCTGTAGCCCCTCTCACCAGTGGTGCACGTGTGGCCCAGTATTCATTCAGTTTTTTTATAATCTTCACACCAAAAAAAAATAAAAGCTAGACCCTGAAAACAATCTACACCTAACTACATGGAACTTATTTATCCTGCCTCCCAAAGAACGAGTTAGCCAGATATCCGTCATTCTCTTTCTTTTCTTGAAGTTTTATTAAGTCTATGAACAGTGCTACAGTCACACAGCAGAATACTGAGTTCCACCAACACACAATAACGTGGGTGCTTCACAGCAATATAATGTTAAGTTAAAAAAGCAAAAATTGCATATGGATGATGCCAGTTTACAATATTAGAGACACATTCTCTTCAGGATGCCTCAAAACAGTGTACATGTTTAGACCTCTGTATTTCTTTCTAGTCACAGCGCTCACCGAGAAAGAGTCAATGATAGGCACTCGGCCAGTTTCAGCAAAGGATCTGACCTCAGCCCGTGGTGTCCTCCCCAGAGTCTCTCACAAAATCCGTCTCTCTACCCTGCAGCTGCATCCTCCGTAAGCTAGCTCCAAACTCAAGGGCTCCAGCGCGCACAGGCAATTCACAGAAGAGGAAACAGAGTCGCAAACATGAGGGAGAAAATGTCAACTCTGCTCATAATCAGAGAAATGTAAATCACAGCACTTCGGGAGGCTGTCATTCTATGACTACCAAATCAGCAAAAATGGAAAACATGGGACAGCAGTGAATGTGACAGTACAGTAAAACTGACAGGGCAGACGATGTAAGAAGCAACGCAAATGAAAACAAGAAGGAAACTCAGGCAGGTGTACAGTGAAGGGTGCATGGCCTGAGCCACGTCCGCTCTGCAGAGTTTATCCTGAAGAAGTAACTTGTGGGACAGAAACGCCTAGATGGCCAACAACACAGCAACTCGAATCCCACAGGGACACACAAGCACAGGGGTGCTGCTGTGCCACACATTTGGAAGAGTACATGTGGTATTTAACCACACAAGAACCATACAAAACACAGAATGGCAGGTACACAGTTAAAAGCCACAAAACCACACGGACCACCTGCTCAGGGCTACAAGGCCAAGTGAGGAACGCACAGCTCGATGTCTAGAGAAGCCGTGGCTGCTACTTTCTTTGTTCGGTGTTTTGAGACTCTGTGCCCTGCTGTGATTCCCTGAGGGCTTGGTCTGTGACTGTGTCCCGCTGCAATTCCCTATAGGGCTTGGGGTCTGACACTGTGTCCCACTGAGATTCTCTGAGGACTTGGGGTCTGTGACTGTGTCCTGCACCCAGTTGTGATTTCCTGCAGGGCTCAGGGCCTGTGACTGTGTCCTGCTCAACTCCCTGAGGGCTCGGGTTCTGTGACTGTGTCCTCCTGCAACCCCTGCAGGGCTCATGGTCTGGGACTGTGTCCTGCTCAATTCCCTGAGGGCTTGGGGTCTGTGACAGTGTCCTGCTATGACCCCTACAGACCTCAGTGTCTGGGACTGTGTCCCACTGCGATTCCCTGTAGGGCTTGGGGTCTGACACTGTCTTGCTGCAATTCCCTGAGAGCTCAGGGTCTGCAACTGTGTCCTGCTGTAATTCCCTGAGGGTTTGGAGTCTGACACCGCACTCTGCTGCAATTCCTTAAGGGCTCGGGGTCTGACACTGTGTCCTGCTGAGATTCCCTGAGGGTTTAGGGTCTGTGACTGTATCCTGCTGTGATTCCCTAAAAGCTTGGGTCTGCAACTGTGTCCTGACACAATTCCCTGCATGGCGCAGAGCTCCTACCTTGGGAACTCTCACATGTCTCCTCATCGCTGTTGTCCTGGCAGTTATTCTGCCCATCGCAGATGAAGCTCTTGTCGATGCAGAGGCCGTTCTTGCAGTGGTAGCGGGCAGTGGAGCAGAGCAGAGGGTTTGCTGCTGCGGAGGGAAAACAGCAGATCAAAAGGAGGCCAGCAAGTCCCCGTGGGACCCCAGAACTCCCTCCAGCCAGGGCTGCATCCCGCTCTGGAAGCCACGAGTGTGTCTTTGATGGTGGCCAACCCAACACCCGTCCTGGGCAGGACAGGACTTGTTCTGCCTCATTCTACAAGTTCCTTCTCTCAGGGCACATGCTGGTGACCTGTGACAATGACAATATGGCCAGAGGCCGGTGCCTCACCCTGAACTGTCGAGCCCAGGCTGCCCAGCAACTGCCAACATGTCTGGCAAAACTTGAACCTCATGGCCGTCTTCCCAGGGAGGCCCAAGTTGACGGTGGGTGGCACGGGGGACTCATGAAGCCAAGCCAAGGCAAAAGGAGTGACTGGGCCGGACTACAGGCCTCTGTCACCAGGGAGCTACGGCACAATGTGAACCAAGAACACATAGGTTCCCTTAGGTTCCCTGACCGCAGATCAGCCTTTCAACTCGTCCCTTAATGACTCGCTATGTAAACTCAGCAGTCTCAGTTCTTCTCTGTGACTAAACAAGCCATTAACCAACGTGGTCACCACTTCTTGGATAGCTCCTCCACGAGGCTGCCCTTCTGGGCACCTTCAAGGGCCTCAAAAGAAATGGCAGACCTGGGCTCTCCCCTCGCGGACAAGGGTGGCAACCGGCTGGTGGGAGAGAACACAAAACTATGACAAAGCACAAGCATATCGCCAAAGACACCAGCACTTCTGCCGCACACTTTGGCTTGCAGTGTGATTCAACAAGATCCATCTGGGGCTCTGTTTTCAGTCACAAATCATCCAAGCAGAAGCCAGTCCATGTCCAGCATGGCTGCTCATCGATGGTGTGATCTTGGCACATCCTCCACCTCCCTGTCTCGCTACCTTGTCTGTGGACAGGACCAGTCACACGGTGTGAGAGGTCCAGCACAGAGGGGACACGTGGGGTCTGCTGCTCAAAAACCGTAAGGAAATGAAAGACAGCCAGAGCAGAGCCATGCGTGGCGCCCTCCTAAGCTGAACCCTGGCCCGCTGTGCCTGGGAGGCTGGCCCTGCTGCAAGCTCAAGTCTGTATCATGGGACACATGAGCACGTGCCTGGAGTCTGGCAGGCAGCTCAGGCCCGGAAGTACCATGTTCTTCCCCAAGCTGTGGGCTGTGGTCCCTCAGTGGTCCCCACAGGCATGACACTGGTAGTGGGGGGGAGGTGGTCCCGGATCTAGGGTGAGGGGCTGAGCCGCATCTGCCCTGCAAGAGACTGCTGAAATGCTGGGGCTGGGCACCATGCCGGTATCCCCACAGTCCTCAAGTAGGAGGTGGCCGCTGCACTCTACCTTTTGGACTTGCTTCGCCAGCTGTTGTTCAGACTGAGTCCATGGCCACGGGACTCATAAACCTCACAGGGCTGTGCAAACCAAGGGCTGAAGACTTTCTTTATTTTGACTATTCAGCTCAGAAGTTTTGCTCTGAAAGGTCAGGGGAGGCAGAGGGACGCAGAAGCCTGTGCTCTCCATGTGAGAATGTCGTACAGGCGCAAAGTCAAACAAAAGGAGTCTGGCCTGGAAATGGATGTTTTAATTATTCAAGTGGCTGCTGGCCAGAGAAGGGTGCAACTCACCCGGGCCGAAACGAAGGTCTGACTTCAGCCAGGACCAAGATGGAGAAACCCCAAACCACAAGTCACGCTCGGTTGTGTCCAAGTAGCCCTCCAAAGCCTGTGTCCATCACATCCCACCACAGTGGCCAGCCTCTGAGGGTCACATCTATGCGGCTGAAGCGTCAGCCACCGTCAGCTCACCCGCACAGGCTGCCTGGGAAGTCTTTCTAATTGTTCCAAGATGGAGGTGGGGGCTCCAGTTTCTGCACACGGCCTGCTGGAGAAGCCGTGTTGAGTCATCCTGGCTGGGACCACTGTCATCGACTTGACTTTCCCTCTGTCGTAGACCCTTTCAACCTCACAAACTTTCCCAAGGGAAAAAAGACACATGTGTTGGGTATGTATGTGTGCAGCAGTAGCCAGAATATGTAAAGAGCTCTCACAAACCAAAGAGACAAAAGCAGCTCAATAGGAAAATGGGCAAAGGGTGCAGCCAGGCAACTCACGCAGGAGGAATGGCCAGTGGCCAGTGAAGACTGAAAACTGTGCGTGGCCACTATAATAGGGCGCTGTGTGACATGCAGCAGACGTGCCACACTCAGGGCCACCAGATACCAGGCTGCTGGCCAGGACATGGGGGAGAGGGCGTCTCGTGGACCATGAGCGGGAGTGCAGACAGACAGGCCCACCTTGGAGGCCAAGCCATAACACCCAGTGAAGTCCAGGAGCACACAGTTGTGGCCCCGCAATTTCACTGCCTACTATATGCTCCGGCCATACTCGCGAACAAACTAAATGATGGCTGAAACCACTATCTGAAAAATGGAAAAATTAGAAACGGCTCAAATGTTTACTGTAGAAAACAGATACCATGTGCTATCTTGTTCCAAGGGAATATCCCACAGCTGGAACTGACTGCCTTTTCCATAAAGGCAAGATGGTTCTAGCAGTTTGGTCTGTGTCTCTGCTGTATTGACTTGGCCACTGGAGGGCCAGGTAGCCGTGGGCAACTTGTAAATGCAGGGTTGAGTTCCAACAGAACTGTCTGGACAACAACAAGTGGCAGGCAAGACTGGGCCCGCAGGCCAGAGTGCCCATGTCTGCTATCAGCAGCAAAAAGCGAATGAACCTGTGTCAAGACGGATGAAGCTCACAGACATGACAGTGAGTGGGAAAAGCACGTCGTGGCTTATATGCAGTGCTGTGCTGTGCACAGGAATCTGTCCCGCAGCAGAACGCCACTGACCACTGGGGACACAAACATGCATGCGGGGAGAATAAAAACCTGCATGGGAATAAACGCAGGTGTATGACAGCGGCTGCCCCTGGAGAGGAGAGAGAAGGTAGATTCCGAGAGAGGCATGCTAAAGACTTCTGATTCTGCTTCAAGTCAACGTGCTGATGTGTGTTCTGAAACGAGATGCTGGGAATCAGGTATTCACTGGGTTTTCTTTTTCAGGATGTTTGAAAGACTTCGCTGATCATTTTCAAGAATCCATCTGGCAGACACATCTCAGGAGTTCTCTGTTTCCGACTTCTCTCCCACCACAAAGTTCTCCCTGGCCCACAAACACTTGTGTTAGTACCATTCACATTCAGGTGCACAGTTGCTCAGAAAACACAGACGCACCCTTGTAAACAACCACACCTAGGGTACCTCCTTGTTAATGACTCCTCCTAAAACACAGCGTCATTGCCCCAACCTACACAGGGCAGAGAAACTGGCAGAAGGTGGTAGAAGAACACACCCCAAGCCAGCAGCAAGCCAGAGAAAAAGGCTTCCTACCATCAACACACACAGTAACAGTCATGCCTCAAAAGTCCCCGGAGCCTCCTCAAGGGAGGGCCCTCAAGTCACCACATACCTCAGGTCTTGAATCTCCGTTTATGTAAATCCCAACAAGCTCTGTATTCTGGGTCCCAAGGACAGAGCCACTCAGAGCTATGGAAGGGGACAGAAAAACGCGGAAAAGTAACCTCTGGCATTCCAAGAGCTAAAAATTGGACCCCATGGAGGCAGAGAGTGGAAAAACAGGTAAGAGACTGGGAAGGTGAGTGGGAGGAGGAGGGAGAAGACATGGCCTGAAAGGCTTAAACAAGCAGGAGAAAGGAGGGAGGATGCATAGAGCTAGACAGCGGAGTAGGATAGACAGAAACGGGCCGCATCCCTAACTAGATCACTGCACATTAAGTACATGTAACAGCATGCCATGTATTCTATAATGTGTGTAAATAAAAAACAAAATAAATTAAGAAAGAATTCCAAAGGCATAGCAGTTGAGGATACTTTAAAGCGAGACTGGAACGTTCTGAAAAAGAGACAAAGGCAGCCCTGCACTATAGCCCAGTCTAAAATCAAATGTTCCTGAGGTGACCCTGCTCTGCCACCAAAAAAAGGCAAATACAAAAAGCCAAGATGTGACAAATCTCAGAGCCTCCTGCCTAAGGCATGAAGACTTGGCCATGGGCAGACTCAACCACAGTGGCTTATCTCCCCAGAGACCCCAGGGCTACTGCACCCATTTCTCCAGGGCCCTCGTGACCACTTACTGGGCTCAGTGAATTTCAAAGATTGTGTGTGGGCTTCTGTGTCTCGCGGGCCCAGCCCAGAGCCCAGCAAGTGCGAATGCTCTGTGGGCAGCCTTAAGCTGACAAGGAAACACTTCTACTGTGGGACAGTGTATGTCGGTTTCTTTCAGCAACATGTAATGTGCTCCAAATGTTTGTTTTCTCATCCTTGCTGAGGCTTAGCAGTCAGAAACTCAGCACGGCACTTGGTTAACCAGGGAGAGGAATGCTGTATTTCCCGGGACTCGTTTCACTAGAGGTTAAGAGAACTGTCGGCGGAGTCGACTTCAAACACTGAATAGCAGGTGCAGTGGCTCCCTGGCTGTTATGACCACAAGAAACTCGTGTTGCACAGCTCCACCTCCCAGTCCACGGCACTCAGGGAAAAGAATGGCTCTCCCTGCCAGAGGGAGCTAAGGGAACTGCTCAGTGTTTAACTGTACTGTCGGCGCTCACTGCAACCACATCTAAAGGACAGGACCAACGGACTGCTATGGTCACCCAGAAGCAGGTGACCAGCTTTGAGACAGGAAATCAAGCAATCTTTCTCTAGCAGGAGTTGGGAAATGTCCTCGTTAATTCATTTGAAGTCTGTGAAGTCGGCCCCTCTCTGCCCTCAAAGGGTCTGGACCAAACATGCAAACCAGAAACAACTCCATCCTGTGACACTCACCATTCACTTCCTGCCCTCAGGGCTCTGGGCCTTGACTACCCAACCCCAGTTTTCTTGGAAATCAGACAGCTGCACCAAAACTTCCTCTGCTCCAGGACAGACAGAGGGCGCCTGGCCTCCAGAAACCAGAGCCCGCAGCACCCGTCCCT